TGTTATACCTATTTCAAAACATCCCAATGTTTCTAAAAAAAAAAAACTTTTTTAAACACCTAGATTCTTTAATAGTTCCTTTTCTGTGGGGACACAAGGTTCACAGAATTTGTAAAAAAAAAAAAACATCTCTGTAGGCCAAAGCCAAAGGGGGGATTGGCACTCCCAGACTTTGATATATTACTGGGCCTCAGCGATTAAGATGTTTACCTTTTGGTTGGACACATCAATACCAATGTCTGATTGGCTAATGCTGGAGCAGGAGGACTGCCACCCGTATTCTATGGCCACAATCCCATCATACATAGCATGATCTGTACCTGGAAACAAATCAAGACCACCTTTAATCTTAAACCAATCTCTCTTCTGTTACTCATCACTAGAAATCCCACATTTGCCCCCTCCAGTCTGGATGGAGCCTTTTCTACATGGAGTGAGAGGGGTGTCCAATGTATTGGTGACTTATACGTGGGAGGCGTCTTTGCTTCATTCACACAACTACAGAGGAAGTATGAGCTGGGGAATAATAACTTCTTTCGTTACCTACAAGTTAGGGACTACGTTCGGAAATACTTAAAGAGAATTTGAGACTGAATCACAATCTAAAATAAATGACTGTCTGAAATGGTCTCTTAACGAAAGTAAACTAATATCCTGCGTCTATAACAATCTCTTATTAATAAGCTCCCCATCGACTGAAAATTATAAACGCAAGTGGGAAGAGGAACTTGGTGAATCTATTCCAGATGATTTATGGAAAGAAAGTCTTGAAAACATACATAATAGGGGTTATGCGGAGCGCCCAACATTCGAACCGGAAAACAGGTCTAAGCATTTCCGGTTTGCAGTGGTTAGGTGATCTCTGAGGTAATTTAAAGGATAAGTTCACCTCAAAACGAAAATTTCCTGATAATTTACTCACCCCAATGCCATCCAAGATGTTCATGTCTTTCTTTCTTCAGTGGAAAATAAATTTAAGATTTTTGAGGAAAACATTTCAGGATTTTTCTCCACACAATGGACTTTAAGCAACATGTTGAAGTCCAAATCAATGCAGTTTAAAAGGGTTTTGAAGTGCTTCAAAGGGCTGTGCACGTTCCCAGCTGATGAATAGGGTCTTATTTAGCGAAACGATCGTTCATATTCTAAAAAAAATAAACATTTATACTTTTTGTAACCACAATTATTTGTCTTGTGCTGGTCTGCGACACGCCAGGCATTACGTCATCACGTTGGAAACGTCACGAAATATATATTTTTTTTTTAAATAATAAATTAAAACAAAGATGTCGGACGATTTTGAAGATGGAGGAGAAAATGAGATGGAATTTTTCGCCCTTCCCTGCCTTTTTGAACTGGAGTACTGCATCCGAACAGCAGTTTTTGTTGTGTACCGATCTGTTCTGTGCCGGGGGAAATTAACTATGGGCTAAGGAGAGACACCACTGTCTTACATACCTTCATAATCATGAGTAACGTTAAATGAGGAGGCGTAAAACTTAAATCCTTTATCTAACAGAGTACTCAGGGCTCTGGACGTTCGTTTGGCAATACGGTATACATCTGAAACAGATAACTTAGATAGATGACGTGACGCGTGACGTTTCCACCGCAATGTCGTAATGCCATGCGCGTCGCAGACCAGCACAAGACGAACAATTGTGGTTAAAAAGTATATCAATGTTTTTTTGTTTTGTTTTTAAATGAACGATCGTTTCGCTAGATAATACCCCATTCCTCAACTGGGATCATGCAGAGCCTTTGAAGCACTTCAAAGCCTTTTGAGACTGCATTGATTTGGACTTCAACATGTTGGTTGCACATGAAGTCCATTGTGTGGAGAAAAATCCTGAAATGTTTTCCTCAAAAAACTTAATTTCTTTTCCACTGAAGAAAGAAAGACATGAACATCTTGGATGGCATTGGGGTGAGTAAATTATCAGGAAATTTTCATTTTGAGGTGAACTCGCTTTTTTTATAAGACAATTCTTATTTCTGTTTTAATTAAAATGTCACGAATGCTGAAGTATCAGAAACGAGAACATCCAAACAGCAGTTTTTGTTGTGTACCGATCTGTTCTGTGTCGGGGGAAATTAACTATGGGCTAAGGAGACACACCACTGTACTCGGGGCTCTGGACGTTCGTTTGGCAATACGGTATACATCTGAAATGGATAGAATGGGTAGCTCCTGTAAACACCGGCTATAAATGTCGCCATTGCTGTGCTGTGTTTACCTCAGTAGCTGACGACCGGAAGTAGTTATACCCATTTTGTAGAACCCGGAAGAATGTTGCGCATAACCCCTATTGTTCAGATAACGCAAGACATTGTCTTGTCCAATTTAAAATTATACATACATAGGCTTCATTACTCAAAGGAGAAACTACATAACATACCCAGAGGTGTCACCTACGTGTGATAAGTGCCACTCTTTCGTAGCAACACTTCTCCATAGCTTTGCTCTATGCCCAAGGGTCCAATTGTTCTGGATTGATATATGTAACATTATGTCTGAGGTCATAAATACTTTAATCAAACCTTAGCCCGTGTTCTTCATTCTTGGAATATCGGAGACCTTCAGGAAACTGAGTGTGGCACAGCAGCGTTTTATTTCTTATTGTTTCATAATAGCAAAGAGATTAATCCTCATCTTATGGAAGAGCACAACTGTACCTCTAAGATGTGGTTAGAAGATTTAACTAACACACTTAATTTAGAAAGGATAAGGTATAAGCTGAGAGACAGACTCAACTTATTCAATAAAACATGGAAACCCCTCATTTCATACCTAAAAACGAAAATATCAGTACAACAGTCCGCATCCTAGCACACGATAGGCCTATATGACAATTGTAATGGTTTTTGAGTGAAGGTCTCTATGAGGAAGGGTGGATGGGGTGGAGATTCATGGGAAGGGGTTAGACGGGCGGATATGGGGTTGGGATAGTGTGGGGGAATCGTGGTCAGCCTGGTGGTGTTCTTGCCATTGTTTTTGTATTGTCATTACTTGTCTTATCTTGTTTTGCTTTGTTTTAATGTTGTACCACTTTAAGTTTACTGTTTATTTGTTTTTGTTTTTTTTATTTAGTTATAAAAAAGATTCTCAGAATATAAGGGTGAATTGTATGTTAAATCATAGGCTATGCTTTAATAAAAAGAAGTTTGAGAAACTTGCTTGAGAAACAAAAAAAAGGTACACAATGTGTGTGCAATGCATACATAGTTCAAGTTCATTTAAGTTGTCAGTCACATGTGGAACTCACAAATTGGGGAGATCAAGTGGACATGGTCTATTTATTGAACTAAAAAAAATCTAAATAACTAATGATTATCTCCATTTTTTGTGCAAACGTTTTATCAATTAGTTTTGGGCAACGTTCCCGTTCACATAGCAGCAGAATACGGTTGTCAGTCCTGTATTTAAGTCCTTAATACGGTTATGCTCAGACAGACACAGTACAGTTATTTACAGGTGTGACAACCACATTCTATAATAACCGAACTCACACCCGCAAATTTTCAGGACTCACAAGAACCGCACACTAGAAAAATCTGCGTAGTGTGAACAAAATCGTACTGGACAACTAGTTGTCTGTCACATCAAACAGTGTGAGAGAGCCACTCTGCACTGCACAAACAAGCGTCTACACTGTGTTGTGTTTTTGTGTGTGGTTTCGGTAACTTCCAGCAACGGTGATATAAGCTGTGTGTCATCTGAAGGTTTAAGATACGGTCACTTCTCCACCAGAGTTTCTCCTGTCAGTTTTGTGTTTATAAAAGATATAAAAGCTGCTGTCAGTTGATGAAGATTCGATGGATGAACTTGCAGCATGATTGGACTCTTGTTGTGTTAAAAGTAAGATTTTTAGTTTTATGGATGTCGCCATCTTTGATATTACTTTGGCCACGGTCGCTTGATACTGGTTAGAGTATAGGGGCTTGACTCTCATTGCAGGTAACACAGACAGTCAGGCCCAGTGGCCATCAGGATAATCTGGAGAATTCCCGGTGGGCTGCTCATAAATTGGGCCGGTAGGGCCACTTTGACAAACGCAGGTCTCTACTTCATTTTCAATGAGAGACGCACAGAAATCGGCATATCGCAGGCGGTTCAAGTAGTGACAACGGTATGCAAGCTGTCCTCGTACACCTGATAATTACTTGTGCATGCGCAGCTCCTTGTATTGGTTATAAATGTTATAAATATTATTATATGGCAAACCTGCGCATGCACGCAGTTAAGGCGAGCCAGGAGACTCCTCCCCGCTTTCTACTATTGCTTGACTGATAATGGAACAAACTAACACTGCAGACAGTATACGAGACGCTATTGTAAGTTGATGTGTGAACGGGACATTTTGAGACTCACACCTGTAAGTAGCTAAATGTGGTTGTCAATCCCAAAAACTGACAGTGTGAACAGCGCCTTAGTGATTAGTGTAAGTGTTTTCCACCTCCACTATCGGTTACTTTTTTGTTTGACATGGCTTCAATAATATTGTCAGAGCTAAATTATATAACAATAGCAATGATATACAGCATAATTTAAAGCAAAATGAACAATTTCTGGTTGTGTCGATGACCCCGTCATTAAACCACCTTACTGTTGTTGCTGTGGGGTCCATAAGACAAAAAAGGTTGGGAAACACTGACCTTGAGCACTCATTCCGTAAAATACCAACCATTTGAGCATTCGTTTGTTTACATGAGTACTTGCATGCCATGCATATGATCGAGTTAATACCAGAACATGGTTTTCTACACGATTTCCAGCACTAGTGAATCAGTTTACACCTGCTGTTCGTCACACATTAATTTGTGTGCATGTTCAGTGCATATTTTATGAATGACAAGAGGGGAAAAAACATGGGCATGTCAGTTTCATTAGTCAAGACTGTCATCCACCCAAAATACACTATCAAAACCTGCAGCTAAGTTGTATGTACATACTGCATTAATGGCAAGAGTATCAATGAACCCCAAGTTAAAATACTCACCCGAGCTTGGGGTGAATTGCACGCAGTTGAAGAGAGACTCTTCACTCAGTCACTTTCTGTCCTGTCTTCGGAATCTCGATGTAAATCGCGATGACAAACGTAATAGCTACAGTTAATGTAATATGACTGTCCACAAATTTCCAGGCCGCTGCCATTGCTAACGCGCTTTCAGGCGCGCGGACCCCTGAGGGTCTCCCATTTCATCCATAAAACTTATTCCTCAGACCAGTCAAGAGAAGAGACTTCTTTAATACACAAAAAATACGTAATCTCCAGTTTATGCTGAGAGAAAGTAGCAGTTTAGTGACTACGAATAAAGCATGGACGTTTCATGAAGCGACATATCTTTATAGCTTCGTGAAGAAGGCATAACAACTGCATGGAGAGTTGAAAATAAATCTAAATAATAATAAGCGTCACGTCCAAAAGCTAAAGCAAGAATGTCTCGTAACAACACTAATGGTGCAGATATAAGCGAGTTGCGTACATAAAATCCATTTGTATTAGCAGACTGGAGGAAAAGAAAGGATTTCCGTAATTCTGATGGCTTCTTTTCCTGCTAGGTTTGCATTTTCCCCCCTCCGTTGATGTGTCTGGCCAGCTCACTGCACAAACGTAACGTTACAGTTTTCACTTTTCTAGTGAAAGGCGAATCGGTAACAGTTCGTTAATCCTGCACGTAACAACTTTGTAAAGCCAAATAAACCAGAAAATGAGCCCTCAGCTCGATGATTGGACAATCTCCACATTATTATGCAACAAATGATTATAAATGAAGGCATGTGACAGTGAAAGCAGCATTCATGTATCCACTTTACCGAAGGAAAAGCGAAAAACGTATGAGGATAACTGCACAGGAAAACCACTGTCGAAGATCTGGACAAAAGAGCGTGCGCATTACAGTCAGCGGCTACTTGAACTTCGAGAACAAATTCCCTTTTCCGTTGATGACGGTTAAAACTCAGCGAAAGTTAAAACTCCGCGAAAGTGCGAGAAATACGCTCCCCGAGGGCCGTTCAAGCGCTTTTGGTGATATTAAGCGTGAGATGAGATTTTTTGGCGACATTAGTCCAAGCATTCTCGTGATGTTGAGGATGATAAACAGCAGATGCTAGAATGAATCTTTAGCGCAGTGAGTTTCCTGACAGCGAAAAAGCAGTTCGTCACCGGAACACATAAGCTCGCTTCCTTTAAAACCAGCCAAAAGTTCGTCATGTTAATGCCCGTGCACGGATAAAATGTCTTTCACGTTTTTTTACTCGTCGTCGGTGGAAAAATGCATTGTATAACGTTTGTAATTTCCGTAACACGTTCAAGATGACAACTGTGTTTAAGCACACGGACTTTTTACTGTGTACGCTCGGGGGCGCGCTGTTCCTCTCTTTAGTTCTTGTTTGGTGACGTAAAGCGCATACGCACAGCGTCACTGTCGCGCACACATTTATGATGTAAGATTCAGACATGAACTTTTTCAAAGGGCGGTGCTGTGTTTAGGGGAATAACGTGATGCATTAAACAAATGCACAACATAACCTTTCACACTGTTGTCATTCAGACAATAATTTTCAGCAAAAATTCCTTACTGTGATTTGTTTTTGGAATTGTATCTGGGACCAGGATTTATTTACAATATTACCGATTCTTTTAAATAGACATTTCAAATGAAAACGCTGATAATTGTGTGGAAAAAAAAGGTAATTACAGCCATCTCATCTTTATTTCCCTCTGCTGTATGTTATACATGCTGTTATTTGTTTTACTATCTTTGTATTTTAAAAGTTTTTTATATTTATATAAAAACTAAAATTTTAATAAAAGTATTCAACACAATCACACTTTTATTTATAATGATGCATATAAAAATGTTTCATTCTTTTATAAATAAAAATAAAACCTGAAAATAAGACTCAGGTCATGCACTTTAATGTGAGCTTTATTATAATAAAAGATCCAAACTAAGGGTTGATCAACACCAGCATATCTTTTATTTATTTGTGTGTACAAAAGCGTGTACAAAAATGAGAAATAAAAAGGAGGAGAAAAAGGACAAGACAAGTCTGTGAGAAATGAAAGAAAGAAGAATCACATTTTATTAAAAATTGTTGTAGCAGTTGAACTGCAGGGCTGATTAAAGTACCAAGATGAAAATAAACCTGATGGGGACAAAAGAAACAAGTAAAGAGCCAAGACCTCCTTCTGCTTTAAGGCCACCTTGTTCCACTGATCAAGTTTTAGATATAGAGTAATACACTTTGCGTACATTTATCTCCTCTCACTCAATGCATGCATTTAAAAAATAATCTTTCGCAACCTTAACTATCAATACACTTACAAAGACACACTCACACATTTAAATAACTACAAATCCATCAGAAAAGCGCAAAGAAGTGTACCTTTTCCTGTTTGTTCTGTAGTTTATAAAAGACAGTGAGTGTTTGCAGGATATTGTGTCATTTGTACCACGGCGCACTGTGTGCAATCACAACTAACAATTGGGGTAAACACAGTGATTTATGCCTTTGGAAAGTTTGTTCCAAAAATAAAATCACATTTGGACAGAAAAGATAAAGACAGTAAAGAAGTCCAAATCATTTACATTTGGTGTAACTAGTTAAGAGTGAGAAAGTTGATTATGACATTTTTAAAAAGCTGAAGATTTTTGGGAAATAAACTCAAAAAGGAAGCTGAAAAGAAAATGTGTTTTTAATATGACGGATTTGAAACAAACTGAAATAAGGCTTAATATGAAAATATTATTTCCGTTCATGCCCAGAGCTTTCAATAATTCCTCTAAACCTCGCAATGCATTTCAATTTCACAGTAACCTTAAATACATAAATACACAGGGACTTTTGTGGCATTCAAGTTGTTGAAAATATTTGGATGATTTTCAATGGCTTAGCAAGTCTAAACGGAGCATGTCAAATGTACAGACAAAAGGCCATTGCACTGGAAGGCAGACAAGACACTTGAAAACACAAGCCACTATCATGGACCAAAACTAAGGGCAAATCTATCTAACGACCACTTCCTTATGGAATTTAACATATACAGACATCCGAATAGCTTTACTGTTTGTTACACTATAAAACCAAAAAGCAAAAGTATTAAAATACAGAGGCATTTCGTTCATTAAAAGAAACTACATTACGGCATCAATGATATTTGTACACAAATACATGAACCACAGGAGAGGTCACAGCTTATGGCCACAGTGACAATTCACAAGATGCAAAGTTGCAGTTTCACGCTGACATGTGCATATAAACCCTGGGATGGAAGTCTTCATTTAGATGTATATCACTCCCATTCCTGCTCAAACCCTAACTGTGTAACAATTTCGAGTGTAAAAATGATTTATTTAGTGAACAGCGTTCAATTGAACAACAGCTTTTAACAATGAACAATAGGGGTGACGCTGTTGGATCATTGTGACCCATCTATAATCCTGAGCAATACTTAGGAGCCACACGTTTACGCATGTACTCAAAGTCCTACCAAACCATGTCACAGAGAAGCCTACATGAAAAAGCCAACAACTATGTGATGACAGGAAGTGGTGGAAGGGGGGAAAGGCAATGGTGCGAAGCATCATAAATGTCATTTCCTCTGAGACCTAGTTCCCTGTGAATATCTTAATTTGTCATACAAGCTTGGTCCCATGCAGCAAGGCATAAGTACAGTACAGTGCATCACAGTACATTCACTCTGCTTAGTGGTACTCATGTACAAATGCCTATGCAAGAAATCACTGAGCAACAATAAAAATAAAAGTTGATTAAAAATGTGCAGTCCGCAGAAAAACACTAAAATGACTAAAATATGATATAAGCGGCTTATCTATGGTTGATATGATGAGCATAGACACCACTAGACAGCATTGAGTTTCTAAAAGAACAACTAACATTTAAGGAAAAGCATCCAAAACACTAGAGGCCGCCAAAAAAGAGAGGCGACATAAGACTGTGCAAAGTCTAGGTCTCAATTTATAAAATTAACTGAAAATGGTCAATCTTAAGCAAAGGGAATATAATCTCAAATACTTTTATAATGTTTATAATTACATTTGATAAGGATATCCATGCTTAAGAATAATAATAATGATATTATTTGATGAGTTCGCAGAGGCCAGTCTTACAGGATCTGTAAAGTACTAATTCTTAATGCCAAAAGATAACATTTAGAAAAAGTAGGATAAAGAAAAGGAATGAGGGGGGGGGGGGGGGGGGGTGTAAACTCAAGTGAGTTCGTTACAGTACAGTGTACCCTGTAGATTCACACATAAAATATCCTGCGCCAACAAAGCAAAAAAAAAAAAAAAACAGTTTTCCCATTGTAAGGAACCTTGTTAGGCCATATAGTCTGAAAACAGTACAGATTGCTGTACCTAGAAGGACACATCAATCATTAAAAAAAAAAAAGCACTTAAGTCGACTATGCACATAAAAGATTGATGAATAATTTTGATGCAACACCACAGATTCATTACCTGAGTGTATAATCGAAACCATCTTGAAACAATTCTTACGACAGAAAACCAACAATACTAGTACTGCCACACAGGACCGTAATGATGCTAACAACCTACAGGGATACAAACATTTTGGTCACAATCAACTAACTAACTTAACTCCACAACACTAGACAAAAAGAAATGGACACAAAATGACAGGTAAATAAAAATTAAAACAAATTAAAATTGAGCTGGGGGGGGGGGGGGTATTTGTGACATGGTGAAATATCTGTGATTGTGTGGTTTCATCATGAAGAGCCTGGCTCAAGTGTGTCTACGTGTGTGTATTTATTGTGTGTCAAAGATGTGGGCAGAGTAAATAAAGGGTCATCATCATTGGCCAGTGGAGGGAGACGTGAGTTTTGGAAATCACTGAGGGTTATGCCGACTTGGTGATGCTCTCTGCATCCTTGGAGGCCCAGAGCTCCTTATGCTGCTTGCGTCCGAAGCCCTCGTCGTAGTTCCCTTTACTCTTGAAGAGCTGCTGGAAGTGTGGTTTGCAGTAAAACTCCCCCTGCAGTGCTGCATAGGTTCCCAGACTACAGAGCAGAGAAACCAAGAGATTACATACATATACATGCGCACACATACACATACATGCACGCATACATACAAAAATGGGCTCGGTAAGAATTTAAGAAATTAACACTTATTTAGCAAGGATGTTAGCATTATTGCAAAAGATGTCCATTTCAAATAAATGCTGTTCTTTTGAAGTTTCTATTCATCAAAGAATCCTAAAAATGTATCAGTTTCCACAAAAATATTAAGCAGAAAAAAACATATTTCAACAATTATAATTAAGAAATGTTTAAGCAGCAAATCTTCACATTAGAATGATATTTGAAGGATCATGGGACATTGACATTCACAGGAATAAATTACATTTTAAAATATATTCAAATAGAAAACAGCCATTTCAATTGCAATAATATTTAAAAACTTTTTTTAATGCATTTTTGATTAAATAAATGCAGCCTTGGTGAGCATAAGAGAGAACACTTCTTCCAGTTTACAACACATGTTGAACTGCTCCCGTTTGCCGTTTTTCTTAGTCTGTGCTGGTGAGGAAGTGTCTAACCTGAGTTTGGTGTTGCAGTGCTTGCAGCAGAAGCATGTGGCGTGGAAGATGAGGTTGTTGGCCACCAATCTCTCCATCGGATACACCGTCTTCTCACATGATGCACAGGTCTCCTTCTGTGTCTTGAAACTGAAAGACTAATAGGAAACAAAGGCACTGCCATTTGTTTTCAGTCATTTAAAACAATAGTTCACTCAATGAATTTGCAAGGAACAGATCAAAATTTCATCACATGACTTGAATATGACAGAATATAGACAAGTGCATGGCTCATAAAGACCGACAGAGAGAGATAGATTCACTGTACAATATAAAAATCTAGAAACAGATGGAGAACAAACAAGGATGTGAACAAAGTCGCGTACCTTAGAACGCTGAACGGGCTTGTCATCAGACACGTTCCTGTGGTCCTGGAAAAAAAGAAAGAAAAATAAGCGTGTTCCTAAGACAGGTTACCCATGGCAACACTATTTCAGTGTGAATACCACAGCAGAATCCTGCACATCCATCCACCATCACTGCTGTCCTTCTAACCTGACATATCTCCCAAAATGTCCAGTCCCTCTTATATCCCTCCATCTGGTCGCATGCTTTTACAAGCACCTTTTGTCGGTGTACCCACACACACACACAAATGCATAAAGAGGGATCAACGAAGACTAAGCCTGGTGAGCGTTTCAAACTCAATCGCCCCGTGAAATAAAGACCCTGTGCACACACACACATGCTTTCAGTTTCAGCCAGTCTAAAGCTATAATATGACATTACATAACACAAGCCCATGTCCCACGGTCAACTCTGCACCACATATTCTGTAGCACTTAAAATCAAAACAGCTGCAAATCTGTACAGGCCACCAAATCACACACACAGGAGAATGGGAATTTAAGAACCAAGCGTTCATGATTGATTTCAGAAAAAATGCTAATGATAGGGTCAGGCTTTGCGCGGCACCTGCATGACATTGAAGCGGTAACAAAAGACCAACAGAGATTCTGTAAAAAGTTAAACCAATGCGGTCTAAGAATCTTCTGCTTGATAAAATGCTGGACTGACAGGTTTTTATGCAACAGCTCAGGTCTGTCAGAAAGCCAAGAGCAGTTCTCCACCTCCACTACGCATCTATACTTGTCTCTTTCGAATAAACCTAAGAGCTTGAAATCGCACACAGATCTGCTGGTATAGCTCACAGAGAGTTAATTTGCTCAGCTCAGAAAAGCAGTGCAAGTATCAGTGATGACCATTAGATCACATCAGACATTCAATAACACCACTTTTCACAAATTATAGCCATTATCGAGAGGGATATCGCTCACACACACACACACAAAGCCCTGAAATGAGATTTCAACCACTCAGCCTCCTCAACATGACAATATTTCCTTAAAAACTGAATCAGACAAGAATATCAACAGTATCATACGCCAACAAATGCGCTTCAATCATTTCCTCCTTTTCAATCATTATCCACATCAATTTCATTGCACAAGTAAGCCATTTCCTGTGAATGTGTGAGACTTCTGGTACACTAGCCGCTATAGGTAAATAACTAGAAGAATTAAAAAGTGCAGTAAATGGTAAAACTATTTTGCGATAAAACCAGTGCGTTTGATTTCGAAAATAAATGCAAAAAAAAGTAGCCTAAATACAAGTGTGCAACAGAGCACAATAAAGGTGTTTTTGAACAGCTAAAACAACTGGATGTGACAAGCTAAAAAGGACCATGCCAGCTTTTACTTTAAAAATAAGACCGATTTTGTCCCACCCCAACAATGTCACGCAATATTACATTTGCCTCTCAAAAAACCATTCAGTGACCATAAACACGTTGGTCAGCTAGAAAATGAACTCCGAGAGGAGCATTTAGCTAAATATGCGCTATTATATATTTTACGGTTCTTCAATATTTAAAGGGGTCATATAATGGTACATGCACTTTTACAAGTTGATTGTACTGAAATGTGTGTTGGCAGTGCCTGTACACAACCATCATATAATGATAAAAATCCATCCAGTGTTTTTGTTTTAATCTCCTTATATGTTTTCCCCTGCCTCAAATCGAGCCGTTCGTTTTTGTGACGTCAATAAAACGGACGCCCCTCCCGCGATTGTTGATTGACAGCAGTGATTCAACACAGACCCGCCCTCGCTCGTCCTTTCAATCATACTCTGCGCGGACCGGCGCGGTCATTGTTGATATGCTGGAGCACTGTCTATGAGCAGAATGGCGTCTAAGCGATTGTGGTGTTCTGTTCTTGGGTGCAATAAGGAACACAGCAGTCATTTTAATGTTCCTAAATCCGAACCGCTGAAGACGCAGTGGCTGAGTTTGTTTTCGAAGGGAATATTCCCCACGAGCAACGTCAATGCTTTCATGTTTGCCGAATCATTTCTCAGTGGACTGCTTTATAAACGAGGATCAGTGTAAAGCTGGTTTTGCTAAGAAGCTGCACCTGAATAAAGGATCGGAACCTATTCGTGTTCCTGCTGAACCTTCAGAAGAACTAAAGTGAGTGTAACGTTTTATTAATCTTTATATTAATCTTTGCAAATCGCCAGCTGCACGCTTCACGATGAATGCGTCGGTTTACACTCAGGGTACATTACAGCATGTTTTCTATGTATGATATTCTCAATATAATTCATAATCCCACCTTTATAATGAACAACGCGTTATGGTTATTGTGTTATTGTGTTACAAACGGTGTATGCACAGAACAGAGAGGCGGGGTGAGCAAAGCTCATTATCATTTAAAGTCAAATGCACTGAAACGGCGTGCTGAAAACAGAGCTGTTTTTGACCAGGTAAAATAAGTGTTGTCTTACAATACTAATGAGAATTTTTAATTAAAGTATATTACAAACTTTTAATTTAGACCCTAAAGAATCATATTAGCTTGTACAAAAATGGCATTTTATGACCCCTTTAAAATGTCTGAATATATCCGTCAAATTATAACAGCCACCATTTCAAAATCTTCTGGAGTAGAAGCATAATTATGTAATTATAAAGTTATATTATATTCTATTGACTTCATATTATAGTAATGTAGTACCAACTGACTCCCTGTATAGGTTTCATTTTTTTCCCTTTAAACTTTGCCATACTGTACCTGATATGCATCCAAATTAATCAATATAATCGAATAGTGAAGTTTGTCAATATTTTACTCCCATTAAGCTGCCAAAAGAAGTGCATGTTTTATGATATAGCATTTTTAGGATTTTCATTTTTTTACTTATTTCTTTTCATTTTTAAAAATGTAAAAAGTTCGTTCTTTCCTTAAAATATTTTACTCACACACGAAAAAAATATATAATACAATGAAAAATCTTACAATTATTCTTCAGCTTAGGAAACTGTAATATTGGGTTCGGCATTTGTGTTGAGACCTTTCAAAGCATGCGTTGCAAAAGAAAGTGTATGTCAATGTATGTATAAAATGTATGTCAGCACTGACTTGTAAAGTGTATTGTGCACTCTGTATAATGTGGTCATCCCCTGGTCAATAAAGAAATAACGAAATAACGATTACTATGTATCTGCAAATGTAAAACGAGAAGCCAACATGATTACACTTTATCTGAAAAGACACAACACACCCTGAGCGCAAGACAACCCTCAACCCACTTCCTGTTTCAGAGTTTGTGTAACATGTTTGTTTCAGAGCCATTGCCACAGTTTTTTTTTAATATTCATGCTTAATGCACACAAATATCAAAAACACCATTTACATTTAAAGAAGTCAAGATGGAAAATAAATAGAGCAGTAGCAGTGAGTGTGTGAAGGAGACTAAACAAGTACACAAAGGGAACCTAAAAAAAGTTTTAAAAGTCTTCTGGTTAGCAGAAATGCAAAACTAAATGCCACAAAAAACTATTGAACCCAAAACAAAGATGCTACGATCAGTCACAGTTTAAATGGTGGCAAAAAACGGGATTAGAGATGTGAGAGTGTTAATACTTGCACACAAGAGAAGCACACAAACCAGTGGAGCAGGGCACCATCTCAGCCGGTGCCATCTGTCCCTTTTTGCCTTATTTGTACATAGGATAGAAAACACGCTTTCTCACCACACAGAGAGCACTGCTGCCCAACCGTCTGCACTGTGGCAGGAAGGAGTGATAACACATCTTCTTCCTGTGCTGTGCTCTGCTCAGAAGCACTTTACGATGATGTGGTCCAATCCACCCTCCTTAGAGACCCTCAAAAATCAGCTGACCTGCACACCAAGTCTAGCCTTAGTGCTGTATGTATGCCATATGCAGTCATAAGACCCTGAAGATCACTACAGTTCACATTACCAGCTCCTCTGGGTTTCATAATGACACAAAAAGAAAAAAACATCATGTTCTCTCTTGTTGACCCTTGTTTCAAAAACACCTTGTCATTTACAAGAAAAGAAATGCAATCAGGCCATTAGGTATAAAGGGATTATTGTGGTGTGAAATCTAACAATGTCACAGTGTTCTAAATATTTTTTTAGGCCCTGCTCAGACTCCCAAAAACTTTTTCAAGCCCTCCACTAATTTTAAAAATGCATCTAAAATCAGAGTAGTGCATAGTACAGTGAAAATAGTGATTTTACCATAGGCAAAGTGAAAATGATAAGGTTCTAATTTTCAAAGAAAAGTAAAAATGTCAAAAAGGAGCCTCATATTTATTTATATTTTTAAATGTAACTTTTAATTGTTTAATATTAAAAGATAATTGGCAATTAAAACGTTTTACTACTACTACTAATAATAATAATAATAAAAAAAAGATAATTGGCCATCATAGTTAAATCAATTAATTAATTCTGAAGGATGACATTATCAGTTTCAGATTTGAATGTTCGGAGCAAAACAAAGTGTGGCAGAGAGTGTCCTGTGCACAAGACAGAACAAGCTAAATACCAAACCAAATTTAAAATTACAGCCAGCCTACAAGATGGGCTGCAGGCCATACTATGACCCAGGGCAGTGTGTGTGTACATATTTGAACCCATTGCTCCCCCTCAAACACTGACACACCAGTATGATTTGTGATGCCCTGCCATTGCCAAAGGTCAGTATTTTACTCTCTCCCACAGCCACACACTGTGTACACTCAACATTCACTCTCCATTACTCTTCCTCTCTGGTACTAGACTGCAGACACTCTTTTAATCTCATTAGCTGGACAAAATCCCATCAGCTGCTCCCCATGGGTCCAGACAGCCAGGGGAATAAGCAGGAGTTCAGCAGACTGAGGAGGCAACACCCATCTTGTGGTCACCATCATCCAAGCCCTGTTCACCTTGTGTCTCGAATGCATCATGTGATCATTCAAACTTTCAGATGCAACCTGGAATGCACAGAGCACAGTTACATAGTGCACCTCCAAATTCCAACAGAATATCTATGGTATGCCTGATCAACATGCAGTGACATGCATGTTAGACTACAATTAATAATAGGTGTAAATGGCAATCTGTTTTGGGAGACCACTTGTGCTCATCTGAGCCAGGTAGTACTAAGTAAAAACAAGGCCACATAGACATTGAGTGAATGACTTGGCTGATGTGACGTCCCATTTGCCACATTCTGCCAAGGCAAGCTAACAATTCTTAAAGAACAAGAGCAATGAGTCAGATTTAGAAGACAAAACTCTATTGTCAAAATTCCTGGCAACACAGATATGAGTTTCATGCAGCAGCCCTGAGGGAGTTTGGCTGGGCTCCATGAATGAGATTCAATGTACTGAATGATGCTAGAGGGCCCGTTTTTGCAAAAGTCAAGTTATGTTTGATATCCATGTAACTAGAAAAACAAAATTAGCCTTTGGGCACCAAAAGAGATACATTAATTTACCAAATGACACATTAGGGTTTTTCCACTGGTTCCAATCAGCAAGTCATTTTCTGAAAGTTTCAGTCATTTTGTGCATTTCTCCCCTGCAATGCATTGCTAACTTTCAGCCTACAGACAGAGACAACTCAAATGAGATACAGAACAGAAAGGACATAAATACTCGGTTGCCAATACTTTTGGTCGCCAATTACACTTGTATCTAGATGCATGACTGGTTTATGTTTTAGATTAAGCCTCGAGTTTGTCTTATTCAAATTTCTACCTCAAGTTTTGTTTCGTACCATCGTTAGAACTATTTCCTGGGCTTTAACTGCTTCTCTACCCATTATTAGTGTGCTCATTTTTATAAACCAAAGTTGATTGAATTCTTACTGAGAGCAGAAACTGTGTCGCAATGGAAGAGGGAGAGATTGTGAGAAAGTAGTTGTACATGAGAAAATGCTTTGACTCAAACACTTCTAAGGAAGAATGTGAAAGTCTTCACCAATGTGTTGAGCCACTGACAGAAGCTGACACTGTGACTGGAGTCTACACGGATGTGAAACTTTAAATATGTTGAGGCAGAAAAAAAAATGCCTGTACTGAACGTTTTAAAGAGAATGCATGTGGGAAGGGTAGAAGAGGAACAGTCTAAGGTTTCATTTGACTCCAGAGTACACCTTTGACCAAGAGAAAGTGCATGGTGTAAGATTTCACCTGTAAAACCCAAAGTGGCGCCATGAACACAACTGCAAAGATAATGTTTTGCAAAGAACCCTCCCATTTTCCGTAGGCTCAGGCATGTTTGCAACACGTCGCAAAACGCTTTGTGTTTATACATCAAAATGAGAAGAAAACCAGTGGATTTTAAACAATACTGCCAGGACACATCCCTTTTTTGAAGCTTTTCAAACATGTTCAGACAGAGTACGAAACTTGATCTAGGCACTTTGTGGTACTTCACAACACAGCAGTCAGCATCTACCACACCATGATCTTATCACAAGAAAGGGAGTGCATTTTGCAATTCAGAAATAATAAAACATACCGACAGAATTGCCAAGAGACATTGCTCCTGTCCATGGAATTTGACAAACATAGAGATGGCAAACCTATTCTCTTTTGCCATTACACTCATTTTCCCACAGGAAAGCAAATAAAATAAAAATACAAATAAAAACTGATTCTATATGAAGACTAAAAGTGTCCAATACTAAATGGCTAGGAGTGTTTAAATTTGGGTTAACCTCAATGCATGCAAGGGGTCAACAGACCAAACAACACACATGACACTTGATTCTCATAAACACCTGCATTAATGTGATGAAAAGTGCATTATACAACAAATACGTACTAATTTGAGCTTACAAAAATGCTCAAGTCAAACTCAAAGACATATATTCCGCTGGGACACTACAGATAACAACTGTATCAATTGCGGCGGTACAGCTAGTCACTCAGTGGAAAGTTCTATTTAAGCCTATGGAGCAAGCCTAATTTCTTCTCTTTCTCCATATAAGGACACATTTTTTGCAAAGGAAAAAAGGGTTTCCATTATCACTTTGCAGAGGCTGTCCCAGAGTCCTTGTTGGCACAATTTCATTAGTATCGAGCTCTAAGAATAGTCAAGAGACTAAGAGTAGTCCATGGACTAGAACCTGAGTGTGAGACGTTCAGCTCTAGTAGGTACATCACTGATGCACAGTGTTTTGTACAAGAGAAAACACTGCGTTTGAGAGTAGACTTGAACAGACTTGAATGAACAAACATACCTAGATGCTCATGATTCCATTTTTATCTGGCATTCCTATGAATGAGAACTTAGAAAGAAATTCAGATACTGATTGTTTTCTTGGGAACCTTTTAACTTCTGTTGAGACACCTGGAATGACATGCCTCCAGCACGTTCGTTTCTGACAACTGGACAGTTGATGCCGCAGGCTGTCATCTCATCTCCACATGAATAATCTGTGTGTACACAATCTTCGGGGCTTAGTTTCATCTGAAAACCCTGAGTGTTTCTGCCATCTGCTCTTAACTTCTGCGTATAAAAGAGATTGACACCTCTAATGAACGAAGACATCATTAAAAAGCAGCACATGCTTCTGGAATAAATTGGACTCTGAAAGCGTTTACATACGTGTGTATTGGTACCATTTGCTTGAGCAATCGCAATCTCTCAAGCACATCATTAGCTAAAACCATTTTCCTTGTTGCTGAATACCCAATGAAGCCAATTTAACTGAGAATGTACATATGTTTGATCAGACAATCCACTGCCAGATGATCCCCAATCACCAAAACAAAGTGCCACTATCACTAATGACCGCACAGAACAGCGCAAAAGAGGAAAGGAAGCTTTAAAAGACTAAAAATACACACATTTAAGTTTTATTGGTTGAGTTTAATCGCTAAAAATAAATCATTATACAACAGTTATGTATAATGGTCTAGTCACCAGTCTAGTTCTGTTCGTCAAATTTGATTCAGTACTGATATAGTACAAAACTGGGGCATTTCACTCTTTGTATCACTGTTTGTTACTTTGGAGTATGCAGAATTGAAGTGGGCCGTGTTTTGCTAAATGGAAGTTGAAGAATCTACATTTTCTCTCACAAATGAGCATTTTGTGTTTTCTCTCACTAGTTAGAAGTTAAACAAATATATTGCCATGACAACATTAGGCTGAAATTCACTGGTGTGCATGTCAAAACATTTACATAAATTTCCACATTAAACCTGTGCTTACTCCTGCTTTTTTCCATGATACAATAATAAAAAGAAAGCTTGCTGGGCTATGAAAGTAGACAAACAGTTTATGGTCAACGTGGGATGAGTATTGAATGTCAACGTTCAATTTACAGCGTTCAAATGTCACACAATGAGACAAGACGAAATGTGAAGCATGAATGCGTTGCAAACCACTTTTTATAAACGTGTCTGCCAAATTAATAAATGTGGACAGACAGGAGAAAGGATGCATTAAACACGGAGAGGCTGGGCTACGTAATTGTATGTTTTCAAGCATCATATAAGGGCACAAATGCACAATGACACTGAGATAAGTACAATGAATTTATGGTTAGAAAAATAAAACAAACTTAACCCTGTACGTTTTTGATTGCTTCAGTACGGAAAAAGTCCACGTTTCCGTGAACTAAAATGGGTCGACAAAAAACAGGTGTCAAAACATGGCTTTGCTCTGCGTTTTCGGTTTTAATCCACACACGCATCTCCAGGAAGACACATGACATATTTGGACCCTCAGAGGCTCAGACCAAGACCCCCACTACACAACAAGGTCTGATTAGTATTCATCTTCTGTTTCCAGTCTAAACGCTCACATAAATAACGTTAACGTTAATCTCTACAATAAGAAAGTTAACGTTAAACCATCTGATTTGATGGATCACTGCACCACCATTAAGTTTCAGCCTAGTATCCCACAGTTAGCTCTTGATAGCTCTCTAGCTAGCGTATTGCACCTCACCACAATAGACGACGAGGGGGTCGCTGGGTTCACTCACTGGCTGCTGTTGCTGAATCAAAGCGGGGAAACTCACCATCTGGGTTTCCTTATCAGCCTGCTGAAGAGAAAGGAGACGAGAGATCTGCTGTCTGGTCCGCTCACTGTGCAAGAGTCGGTTGAAATCTCTTTCTCTGCTGGTCTAAAATGATGTTCTTCTTCTCCGGCTGAGCTAAATGAAATGTACCAGCACAAGCTCTGATCGCCCGAGCCGTCTAGCTAGAGAGCAGAGCTTGACGTGCTTCCCCCCCACCTCGCTCTTTTCAACGGACGTTTTTTCTCCTCCTCATCACGCCTTTTTTTATTCAGCAGGATGTCGCACGCCATTGGACGCAGCTCGTGCCGCGTCCTCGCGCTCTCCTCCAACCTCAGAATTTCCATATTTTGCTACGGGTACTTTTGCACGAAATAAACATAACGTTACCTGGATTCCTAATTTCTCGTCTTTGTTTATTTCCCTTACTCTTCCCTTAATGACTAATATTACATGAGGTAAGCAAGAATTTAACAGGGCTAATTTATGTTGAAGCCATTGTAATGTAGAAAAAACTGATTTAGCTTTGACTGACGGTCTCTCTACTCTACAACGTAATGAACGTTGAAGGGTTTAGTTCAGCTAAAAATTAAACAACTCTCAATCTTTAAATATGTCAAGAAGACATCAACAAAGCCTCACAAATGTAGGCCATGCAACGTTCTAAGCATAGACAGTAAAAGTCTTCTGAAGTCATACAATTTTGAGAACAGATGCAAATTTAATACATCCGCCACCTCGTGGGAATATACCAGCATTTCAGTTGGGATGTAGGAAACACTATTAGCATTTTCTGAAAAAAAATACCAGTGGCAATTAAAGTTTTAGGAAACCTTAGGTTGATTGATATGCCTCAAAGCCACATTTGTTTGCCATTATCATTGGGTATGGAATCCACACTTAAAATAGCATATTTTGTACAGTGTAAAGCTGTAGCTTGATAATGGCCAGTTCAGTAAGAAATGTAGAAATGTAGACAAACTAGTTGCAATTTGATTGTTCAAAATTTTAAAAAGACAAGTGCCAACAACCTTCAGTTGTTCAGATATTTTCTGGGCAGGAAAGTTAGAGACTGGATCTCACTGATGCTTCGTTTGAATACCTCCATCTAGCCAGGTTAAACTGTTAATGTAGTTTAACCCTTGTGTGTCAATTAAAAAAAGTTACATATAGGTCCATAGAGGACAAAAATGTCTGTTTCCAAAAACTGTCATAAAAATTTGAAATTTTAAAAAAAAAAAGTATAAAAAAGGTTATAGAGGTTAAAGTTTATGAAAATGATTTATGAACATTATTTTATATAAAATATATATTTTATGAAACATGAACTCTAAAACTGCTAGAAAACGTCTCGGTTACTAACGTAACCTCGGTTCTCTCTAGAAGAGGTTGTTAAAACCTCTCTAGAACGAGTGTTGCGCAAGCTAGCTTACGCTACGGGAAAACCTCTTTTCTCAAGAATACTGAAGCCAAAAATTATCCTTATAATTTTGTATTAATTTAAAACGCATTTGCTGCAGCGAGCAGACCTAGGCGAGGCAGCTTGCGCGCCTATTGGCTGCTCTGCGGCAACTGCTGCAACCTATCGAGGGACTGCTCACTAGCGCCCTCAGTCGTCACGTCCCACGCGAATGGGCGTGGCTTATGCCTATATAAGCCAGAGCTCAATAGGATGGGCATTGGTTTTCATCAACTGAAGCGAAACCAGATGGTAGCACAAGCACGGCAGGGTTACGCAACACTCGTTCCCTCTTCTAGAGAGAACCGAGGTTACGTTAGTAACCGAGACATTCTCTTACGTGAGTAGTCTCGTGTTGCGTAAGCTAGCTTAGGCTACGGGAACCCAATTTAAAACGCTGTGCGTACTAAATCTGCCACAACACTGACCCAAGGGCGAGTGCCCTGAGCTCATATGATATGGGGATATAAAAGCCGACAGGGAGTGGGCTAATAAGTATGATAAAAGGCAATGTGGTTACCTTAAGTGAACAAGGGTGCTTAACACTGTATAACAGTCAGGGAAGGCATTAGCCTGCCTGAACTGAAACTTTGCAGTTTGCGGAAGCGAGTTTGGCAGAACTGAGCAGATTAACTAGACTGACTAACAACCTAGCTTGAAGAGCGGGAACTTCCAGGTTATAGAACCTTAAAAATGTAGACAGAGAGGCCCAGCCTGCCGCCATACAGATATCTTGAAGAGAAATCCCACTGGACCAGGCCCATGAAGAGGCCACACCTCTAGTGGAATGAGCTCTGACACCCAGAGGGCAACGACGGCCCTTAGATGTATAAGCCAGTGAGATAGCATCCACTATCCACCTGGAAAGGCTATGTTTCGAGGCAGCTAGACCTTTAGTGCGGCCACCAAAAGAAACAAAGAGCTGTTCTGACTGTCTGAAAGCAGCCGAACGCTCCACGTAAATTCTCAGGGCCATGACTGGGCAAAGGAGATTCACGTCAGACTCGCTGTCAGATCCAGGGAGGGCTGACAGGGAAATGACTTGCGCTCTGAAAGGAGTGGCAAGCACTTTGGGGACATAACCATGTCTTGGTTTGAGGATGACCTTGGAGTCATTAGGCCCAAACTCAAGGTACGAGGCGCTAACAGAAAGTGCGTGTAAGTCACCCACCCGCTTGACTGAGGCGATAGCCACCAGAAAGGCGGGTTTTAACGAGAGATACTTAAGTTCCACAGACTGTAGAGGTTCAAAAGGGGCACCCTTCATGGCCTCTAGGACCAAGGAAAGGTCCCATACGGGAACCAAGGGGGTCAAGGAGGGTTCATCCTTCTAGCTCCCCTGAGGAAGCGGACTACAAGGTCGTTCCTACCCAGTGACTGGCCGTGCGAATGTTTGACAAACGCAGCAATAGCCGCGCCACATATACCTTGAGCGTGGATGGGGATCTGCCCTTATCCAAAAGCTCCTGTAGCAAGGAAAGAACCTCTGATACCCCACAATCTTGTGGATCCAGGTTGCGAGCTGAGCACCAACCTGAGAACACTGACCACATGGAAGCATAAAGCCGTCTAAGTAGAGGGCGCTCTAGCTTGCGTAATCATGTTTAACTGGGAGTGTTTAGTCTGGGAGATTGACGGGTACCCGTTGATGGCCCACACATGCAGAGCCCAAAGCTCGGGGTGTGGGTGCCAAATCGTACCCCCGGCCTGTGAGAGGAGATCTCTCCTCAACGGGACAGGCCATGGAGCCAAGCTCTGAAGCTGCATCAGCTCCGGAAACCAAACTTGGTTCGGCCAGAACGGAGCTACTAAAAGCACAGAGGAACCGTTCTCCCTGATACGCTTGATTACCTGTGGTAACAACGTGATCGGCGGGAAAGCATACACTGTAAAAAAAAATCTGTTAAATTTACAGGAAAAAACTGGCAGCTGTGGTTACCAGAGTTTTCCTGTTAAAAATACGGTAGCATTATTTTAGGTTTTACAGACTTTTAACCGTATATAATTTTACAGCAATATACCGTATTTCATTATCTGATATAATGTTAATTTACTGACCTTGCTTTTGAAGTATCTGTTTTGTTCCATTGTAATACACTGACAGCCAACAATCACAGCAGTAATGAGAGTCAAATGATCAATCAAAGCTCATCATAAGCAGCTCTTCCACAAGAAAGTTAATACTGATATATAGAAGCTGCACAGTGTCATTCACAAAACATTAAACACCATCATGGTAACATGTTGAAATTTAAAAAATGCAATAAGCATTAATTTAACAACATTAAATATAACATAAAACCCTAATGTACATAACTGATTAGAAAAAAACTAAGAAAATTATGAAGAAACAGTTATTATAAAAAAATACATTAAATGTGAAGTGTCACGCAGGGAATTGTGGGAATGTCAATTTACATTTTTTCACTGTAAATTATACAATGACTTGTTCTTTTTCACTTCCAAAAACTGTAAATTTAACGGTATTTTACAGTAAAATTACATTAAATGTACCATTATATATATCACAGAAACTTTCTGTTAACCAATTAACAGTTTTTCACTGTAGCATTTTTACAGTCTTTTACCGTTAAAATCACGATCATTTTTTACAGTGTAGAGAGGGCGGCTGGGCCAGTGATGGGCCAGCGAGTCCTTGTTCTTCGTGAAGCATATTGGACACTGAGCGTTGTCTTTTGACGCAAAGAGGTCGACCTCCGCTGTGCCAAAGGTGTCCCACAACAGCTGAACTGTCTGAGGGTGGAGAGACCATTCACCTGGGGGAACGTTGTCCCTGGACAGCCTGTCTGGACCCACGTTCAGATGACCTGGCACATGCGCCGCCACAAGAGCAGGTTGTGCTGAACCCATACAAGGAGGCGTTCTGCCAGTGCATGAAGGTTCCGTGATCTCAGACCGCCCTGGCGATTTATGTAGGAAACCACCGACATGTTGTCCGTGCGGACAAGGACATGGTGGCCCTTTAGGAGAGGAAGGAAGAACCGCAAGGCGTTCTCGACCGCCTTCATCTCTAGACACTTTATGTGAAAGCGCTTCTCTTGGCCAACAGGCCAGAAGTCGGTCTGCCCGAAAGGCGTCTGTCGAAACCAATTTCAGTTTCGAGATTAGCCCCAGGTTTACACCTGTCTGATACCAGCCGACCGCCTTCCAGGGCTCCAGAGGTGTGACACAGTTCTGAGTTACCTTGAGACGTAAACGACCAGATGCCCATGCTCGACGCGGGATCCTTTAGCCAGTGCTGTAAAGGGCGCATGCGAAGCAGGCCTAAACGAAGCACCGCTGAGGCTGAAGCCATGAGGCCTATAATCCTCTGAAATCTTTAGACAGGAGAGACATCGCCTACTTTGAATGACATCGCCAGGCGCTGAATACACAGAGCGCGCTGTGACGTCAGCCGCGCTGTCATTGACACAGAGTCCAGATCCATTCCCAGAAAAGAAGCTTTCTGACTGGGAGATAGCGAACTCTTGGTCCAATTGACTTTGAGGCCCAGAGCCTCTAAATGGCTTAGTAATAAAGCCCTGTGTGTCATAAGTTCCACCTCTGACTGGGCCATAATTAGCCAGTCGTCCAAATAGTTCAGTATTCGTACACCCTGTTGTTTCAGGGGGGCGAGCGCTGCGTCTATGCACCTCGTAAATGTATGAGGTGCTAAGGACAGGCCGAACGGAAGGATGGTGTACTGGTAAGCCTGACCCTCAAAGGCGAATCTTAAGAAAGGCCTGTGACGGGGGGCTCTTTGTATCTGAAAATAAGCG